ACCCCCACCCCCTCCGCCTCCCCCGCCACCGCCACCGCCTTCGATCAACCGAGACACGGTCAACCCGGCTCTAGACACCCGAGACATGCCCTTAGATGACCGTGATACGACGGGGCGAGGCGGGGATGGTGAAGGTGGTGCTTCGCAGCCCGTACCGCCGCCGCGCCGAGCTCGGGGGAGAGGTCGCGGTAGAGGAACGCGTGGAGCCCCACGAGGCGTCCGCGGTGCTCGAGGTGGAGGCGGATTCGGCCCCCCCCGCCGCCCGGCCCGCCACCCGGTGACCCGGGGGATGGCGGAGCAGGAGATGGTGACTCGGGCGGCAATGGGCCGCCCCCAAACGGCGGAGGACCTCCACCTCCCTCAGGTCCACCACCAGACCCGCCCCACGACTCCCACTGGTTTCGCTCGAAAGGCATTTTCCCGCAGCGTGGGCTTGATTATCTCCGCAGCCTCACCGCCGAGCAACGGGATGATCACTTCAAGCTGGGCGTTCGCACCATATGCCGCATACCTGGGTGTGTCCGGGAATCGCTAAGGATGGTGGTGGACACTACCGAGAAGTACGTGAAGGACGAAGAGGACTCGGATGTCGGCTGCCTGATAGCCATTTTCGTGCCGACTATGCTGCTCTTCCCGATGAATCGCGGCGGAGACGGCGGCCACCGCAAATGGCGTGCTCGCTTCAAGCGCTTCTGGGCTGGAGAGTGGCAAGGATTGCTCGACGAGTCTAGGAATTTTGCTGAACAGGGTCGCCACGTATTCGCTCCACGCGGCGATGGACCGGTGGACGGCGTGTCTGAGCCATCCCTGGAGGAAATCAAGCTGCGAGCGGCAGAGAGATTTGTGAGATAGGGAGAGCTGTCGCGTGCGGCGAGGCGGCTGACGGCCGCCAAGGTCGCTCCGGCGACAGCGGCAACGCTCCAGCAGCTCAAGGAACTACACCCGGCAGCCCCGCTCCCTAGAAAGCCGCAGACCCAGAACAGCCCAGATGAGCCGGCCGTCCCTCTCACGGTCCCGCCCAGAGTTCTACTAGCTGCCCTCAAGACGGCGCCGCGAGGCTCCGCAGCCGGCCCTACGGGATGGCGGTATGAGCATCTTCGTGCCTGCATGGGAGAGGGTGACGCCTCGGCAGAAGACGGGACCGTCCCTCTACCCTCCTTTGTCAACCGGATGCTCGCTGGGAACATGCCGGACAGCTGCACCACGACTCTCTCGGCGGCCCGCCTTTTCGCTCTGATGAAGGACAACGG